TTAGGCTAACGCATTTTTGGCGAAGAAGCGTATCCCCCTTTGTGGGCCATGTTGGGCTAAAACTTTTGCCCCTCATCTCTCCCAAAATTTTCATTTATAGCACCAACGAGATTAAATTTAAGAGGTTAGTATTTTACAACATTAAAAAATTAAAATTAAAATTCTTATCAGGAGGATAACCTCATTTTATAGGTGATAGTGCCTCCAACATAAATCTAAATTTGATTTGCAAATGATGTAACTCTTTTTTAAATATGTAAAGTTTGACTTGAAAATATTTTTTAATATTTGAATTTTAAATTATTAAAATAAAATATATTTACTTGAGCAATGACCAATCAAAACCTACAGCATCGGTCATGTCTTTTTAAAATTACTTCTGGCTTCTAAGTGCCTTGAGATCTATTATTAATAACTGAAATTTGAGGGATTTATTTGTATTTAATTTTTTTTATCTGGAACCTATAAATAATTTGTTTATGTAAAATGTTGAATTTTACCTTCATAGTTTTAAAAAGTTAAGGGGAAAAAAATCAAGTTCGGAGAGGGTACTATTGTTTTGTTACCTGAAAAAAGAAATTACTTGGTCATAAATATTTTACTTGCAAGAATAAACTCAAACAAAATATGAAATCAAAAGCATAACTTTATATAGATTAAATTCGAACTTCTGAGGCTAAAATAATCACACATTTTTCAATAACGAAAAATAAAGGAAAACAAAATATAAAGTTTCCTTTTATTAATGGGTTGAAAGTGAGAGAAAGAAAAAGCAAAACAAAGAAAAGAAAAGAAAAGGCTATTGCATGCTTTATAGACAATGCACAATGGGAATTCCTTTAACTTTTTCTTCACATTTCAAGCCTTTTCTTCCCTACGAGGTAAGTCCTTATCACTTCTGAAATTTCAAATTTTTTTTTTAAAAAAATACCTAAGCCAAAAAAAAATAAAATGATGCATAAAGCTGAGAATGATGAGGAATATACATTCTGAATTCTGAGCAGCCAAAGAAAAAGATGATAGCTATTTCTAGTTTCCCATTGTTTCTCTTTCAAAAGGTCTCTGTCTGGCTACGCTCTTTGTCTGTTAATATAACATAATATACTAGATTTTTTTTAACAAAAAGAAACTTATTTGGAAAGGTGAAAGCGATGCATTTTTATTTTTTATTTTTGAAAATGGAATTATGTTTTTCAATACTACCCATATTTTAAATTTGATGTAATTTTTTATTTTTTTTTACTTCTCAAAATATAATTCATATTTTTAAATATGAATAAGTTGGGAATTTTCTATTTTCAAATAAATTTAATGACTTGTGACTTCTTTGATAAGGAAAGAGGAGATATCTTATAATAAGACCAAATAGAGTGTGTGCGCGTGTAAATACACACGGAGGCAAAGTTAACTTTCATATGTGCTTTGTTCAGTCTTAATTGCAAGGCAAATTTAAATACGTAAAAAAGTCAACAGTCAAAGATATTTTTCCATGGACTTAATTAGGATTAAGGCATAGCCTTAAAATTCAGCCATATACCCCACTACGTACTATTTATAAATTTCAAATTTAATGCCAGTGTCACTTTTTTGATAAACTTTAATTTAAGTTTATCTCAATATTTAATACTTTTTTATTTTTTAATTTTAATTATTTATTTTTTCTCATTTATTATACTCTCCTATTATATTTCTGCATAACTTTTTTATGTTCTTCTTATTTATTGTAAGAATACTTTTTCAAAAAAAACATATTCATTACTTATTTATTTTTTAACTAATTTTTTTATTAAATATAAATTAAGTTAAAAACTGGAGTGATTAATTAACAGCTTGGAGGAGAGGCCAATAAAACACCCTCTGAGCAAGTAGCAGCAGGCGATGAGAATGTGGAATATTGGAGTAATTGTTTGTCTGTTTGTTGTTTGGCGCCATATTATTATTAGGAAAATGATAAATAAAAAAAACCTTAAAAATTTTTTTTGAAAAAGGATAGCTAACATTCTTAAATGTGAGGAAATGAGAAAAAGTTTGAACTGAAATTGTGAAAATGAGAAAAAATATCAATATGCCCTTTACTAATTTGGAAAAATAACTAGATTTGATCTGTAAATAATAAGATTGTAATATAAATTAACAAGTTTGAAATACAAAATAATAATATCCTTTTTCGTGTGAAAGCATCTGTTCATTTGGAAAATAAATTAAATTTAATGTAGAAATAACAAGATCAAAACACAAATTAACAAGTTTGGGGTACATAATAACAACATCTTTTTATGACCATCATCATTCCAAAGGCATATTGTTTATTTCCCATATTTCCGTAATTTCAATTTAGGCTTTTCCTCATTCCTTGTCACGCTAACTGCCTCTTTGAAATTTCCTATTTTCATTTTGTTTAGTCATTTTTCATTATTATTATATTTCTACAATCTTTAATATAGAACCTAATTAAAAAGTCCTATATATAAAATATATTTTATATATTTATAAATTTTTTTCTTAAATTAATCTTATTAAAATTTTTAATAATAATTAAACAAGAGAGAAAGTGAGAGAATTAAGAAAAATATTTATAGTATTTTAAAAAAATATATATCATATTAATTAATTTATTAAATATTTTTAATTTATTTAAATTAGTTAGTTAAATATTATATTAAAAAAGACGAGAAGGATTAAATTAAATATTAATAATGAAAAGGTAAGAGAAGGCGCAAAAAATGGGTAAGAGAGGAAAAGAGTCAAACTGAAAGTAGCGGCAGGTATTAAAAAATGGGTAGAGGTCAGGAAAGTAGTACAGGTAGTTGGGGTAATGAATGACAGTAATGTGGGGAAGAAGTACCCGTAAGCGTGTGTTTTGAAAATTAGAGAGTGAGCAGAAAAGAATCCAGAGAATGTGTTTAGATGAAAATGATTTTAAAAATATTTTTATAATATAAAAAAAATATATCTTATTTTGTAAAAAAATATTTTTTAAAAGTATTTTTTTAGTTTCCAAATACCTTCTAAATCTAGGAGAAGGATCAGTCCGAATTTCTGTTGGGACTCATCTTATATTATATTCGACAATATTTTAAATAGAATTATCTGTATTTAGTAAAAAGAAATTAAAGAGAGAGTCAGAGAGAGTTGGTTGGGTAAGTGAGCAGGACAGGTGAGGTGAGACTAAAAGAGGGGGCCGGCAGGAGAGACAGAGAGGCATGCAGAGGGCACAAAGCACAAAGTCATCGATAGTACGCGTGTGGGATCAAAAGCCACGCCCCCCACACCCCTCAAATTATTCACACTCGCTTCTAATATTTTTATTTTAATGAAAATTCTTAAACTATCTTAAAAAAATTTCGTACAGATCTCGAGATTTTATTTATCCAAAATCCCATAAAATGTTAAAATTATTGACAGGTTCTAAAAGACTTTAAAGTAATATATTCTATTAGTAAAATGACATTACTGCTCCTCACATTTCAAATTCACATTCGCTGTATCATTGCGATTTACAACCTCAACAGCGACTATTAACAATCTAATGAGAAAGTGTTGACAACTTAAGCAGTATCTGTTAACAACTTACTTTATAGGATCACACAACCTCCACATAAGAGTAAATTATAACCAAATAGCATAATACAACAAATTTAACACTAAAATGGGAAACTTTTTGAAATCATTAAGAATTTTAACTAAACCCAATAGGATTATAGCAAAATTTTAATGCGGAGATCCACTGACAACCTCAATAGTGAGTATTAATAACCTAAGGAGAACTGTTAACAACCTTAGCAGTGTTTGTTAACAACTGACTTTACAGATTATTAATACTCACCGTTGAGGTTGTTAGTGGATCTCCGCATTAAAATTTTGCTATAATCCTATTGGGTTTAGTTAAAATTCTTAATAATTTCAAAAAGCTTTCCATTTTAGTGTTAAATTTGTTGTATTATGCTATTTGGTTATAATTTACTCTTATGTGTAGGTTGTGTGATCGTATAAAGTAAGTTATTAATAGATACTGCTTAAGTTGTCAACACCTTCTCATTGGATTGTTAATAGTTGCTGTTGAGGTTATAAATCATAATGATATAGCAAATGTGAATTTAGAATGTGAGGGGCATTAATGTCATTTTACAAATAAAATCTATTACTCTAAGATCCCTTAGAACCTGTCAATAATTTTAACATTTTATGGGATTTTAGAGGAATAAAATCTCTTCTGTGAGACCTGTGTGTAATTTTTCCAATTATCTTTCACGTCTTCCAATTTTTTTTGTTTTATTCTTATTTCATATCTTAAATATAATAATTAGTTTGTAATATAATTTACGCTATAAATTATAAATTAGTTCTTATCTTCGATATCAAAAATAATATATACTCTTCTATTTATAGAGTAAAAAAATTTATCTTATTTATAAATCATATTTTTAAATTCTTATATAATAAAATATTCTACTAAAAATAATTTATTTTTTAATGGGGTAATATAAATTTTAGTCTCTCAAATTTTAAACTATAGATTTTAATCTTATTTCTTTTCATTTATAATATTAATTTATATAATCTAATAAAAATTTAGACTATTTTATTCCCTTAGAAGTCAAAACTCATCATTTAAAATTTAAAAAACTAAAATAAAAATAAAAACAAATTTAAAAGGAGAATTATAATTAAGTCCTACAAAAGAGAAATAATTAACAAAAGGTCTCAATAACAACCTGAATATCTTATAATAACAAATGTTATAGTGAGAATAATAGCTTTTGGGACTTGTTTTTTTAATTTTTTTCTTTGCTTGGGACGTCCATGTAATTCTCTTAATTTAAAAACCAAAAATTATAGTTTTTTTTTTTCAATTCACTCAAATTAATTAAGTACTCCGGCTGTCATTCTCACGTCTCACCTCACAATGCATCTTTTCCTGTTTTCGCTCATCGTCCCAACAACTTCACCTCTCTGCTTTTAACTCTCTCATGCCTTACCGCCTTGTCCCTCGCCTCTCTCACTCAGACCTCCTTTTCTTCCCCACACGTCCCTTTGCTTTTCCCGGCCACCCACCCACACACACACACACACACACTCACTCACTTTTCTCTCTCTTTCCTTCCCCTTAAATCGCCCCTTCAAACCCCCACGCTTCAACCTCACACTCTTCACATTTCCCTTCACACTACTCTTCTTCCTCAGAAGCCCCCATTCATCTCTCTGCAACTTCAGCTTCATCAATGGAGGTAAGCGCAACGCCTTGTTTCCTTCTTTCTCTTTACTTGCTTTCTTCTCTTTTAATAACAACAACATTATATATACAGGAGTATTACTACAGGAGGAGCCAGGTGCCGGCGTTTGGAAGCTGGGACTGGAACGATAACCTTCCGTTTACGCAGTGCTTTGAGTCTGCCACGCAAGCTGGCTTCTTTCGCTGCGCCTTCTCCGATCACTCCGATGATCAGGATCGTGATCTTTATGTCACCGGCGACTTGTACCAGAACGACGTCGTCACTCCCGCCATGATCGTCGTTCCTCGCAAAAGAAAGGTCCCTCTCCTCTCTCTCTAACCCGTTCCCCTCTTCACTTCAAATGTGTCTCTTTCACACCATATTTCATTTCTTCCAAAACTAATCTTCTCTTCATTTGTGAGTGCTCTTTTTTCTTTCTTTCCCTTCTCTTCGTTTTGTGGGTAGTGTTAGTTGAATTATGACGGCCATCATGAACTTATAAATGAGGTTTAATTCATAATTCCCCCTTATTGAGACCTTCCGACTTCCATGTGAATAGATTATGATAAGGTTATGAGCTACTATTAGTTTCTGTGGTTTTAATTTACTAGTATTATTTATTTGCTTTGGTTTTGTAAAATCGTTTATAAAGTAAGTCATTGGACCTAGAAAGATTCAAAAGAGATTACGTAGTTTCAAGGTAAGAAAGGATATGGTGATAGGGGGGAGAGTCCGTGAGTGGTGGAGAAAGCAAAACTTAAAGGTCGGCTTTGTATCTTCTTTTGATGTGGTGGGTCTGAGTATTTAGGTGGGTGGGACCCTTCATTCATTTGACTTCAATGAATCACGCCCTCTTAAAAGCCATAATGTCTTCAAACGGGTACCATCACGAGAGTATCATTTGTAATAGTATATTGTAGGAGTTCAATTTTAAAAAAGAGATTTCATTAACTCAGTAGTTTGCTTGTTTATTGTAAAAGTTTTTAATTAGGAGTATTAGGTACCAAAAATTTTTTAGATACAAATTTGTCTTGGTAGCTAAAATTGTAACAGATTTGTTCTTTAAAATTAAAAATAATTACTATTAATGTTACTATTTTAACCGTTAATATTAGCAAAAGAAAGTAAAATTGTTATGATTTTAAATTTTTGTAACAAATTTGTTCTCAAAAAAGAGTTTGGCACTCTTGAAAAAAAAAAAATTTATAGGACAAATTTGCATTTTAACCGTTCATATAAATTATTAGAAATTGTATCTTAAAAAAATCAATATATATATTTTTTATAGATCTTACATTCATGTGTTTAACATTGAAATACATGCGTACATAGCGGATGAGACCTTTAATTCATTGACTTCAATGATGAATCTGTTGGCATGATACCAGTGTGGGAAAGAAGGCTTCAATAATGTAAAAGGGGAAAAATAAAAAAGCAGAGGGACATGTGACATGAAAGACAACTTTAGGAAGGAAAGCAGAGAGAAATTGATGTGGAAATTGAATGTTTTTGTGTGTGTGACTGCAGACAAAGGTACGTGGGAAAGGAGGAGCAGCTGCAGAAGAAGATAGAGAAAAAGAGGAGCAGAAATATTATTGGGAGAGTGAGCATGAAGGAGAAGAAGCCCTATTTATGTTAATAATAATAATGTTTCAAGGCCAACCCCTAAGCCTGTGGATGAAGACTTGTACACAATCTCCCCTGAATTGCTTTACCAAAAACATACAAAGGTATTCCTTCTTTCACTTTTTGCAGTAAAACTTCACTTGTTTATTTCTAACAAACCAAATCTTCCATGTTCTAGGTTATAACATCTTAAGGACTTCTGGTGTGTGAGCTAACTAATTCACAGAGATTAAGGAAACAAGTATACTTAGTTATATGTAATGTCTTAGTTTTCCTAAGATATCCCTTTAATCATTTGCATAAAAATTACTCTATATAAAAACCCTTCTTTAATGTATGAAAAATAAAATTGAAAGGATAAGTTTGAGAAGAAAATTAAAATTTGGAAAGACAGTGGATTGTGGTATTATCTTTTAAACCAAAACAAACAATTCCATTAACTCTTAGCTCTTATATTTAGAATTAAAGTGAGTACTTTATTTAATGAAATTAGGGTTATCATTCAAACTTTGTTAGTCTATCCACACGTTATTTCTTTGGTTTAGTTTTTTTCTTTCAACTATTAAAAGTTTGGGATGAAATGTCTCAAAGATATGATTTTGCTTTTCCTCCATTTATTATTATTAGTGTCTGATAGTAATTTTACTGTTGATGTGGTGCAGAAGAGAGGGCTGAGCTTCTTTTCCAGTTGTTTGCTGCCAACTTGCATTGCCTGAAACTTCACATGGAAACAGCTGAGAAGCCATTAATGATTTGTACATAAAGCAGAAAGAGAGGACATAGCCACAGATGACGATGATGATCAATGAGGATAATGTTACACTTTGTTTAAGAATGAGAGACTTAATTATATATCTATAGATCATTAATTTAAATCACTTCTCTCTAATGGATCTTAGTTAATTCTTCTATTTAGGGGTTTGGTTCAGAATTTTGAGTATTTTGAAAATGTAATTGTTGGGGTAAGGATTGTAATTTGGTGTGTGCATGTGAAAAGCAGTGTAAAGAGAAGTGAAACAAAGTAAAATGGTTCATCTTTGTGATCTTATACTTTTTTTATTTATTTTGACTCAACTTTCAAACTTTGATGGAATGATTGAAACAAACTTGTTCAATGAAATCTCACGAATAACATCTTATTTCTGTAATTGGTAGAATCATTCTGCAATGTCCTTTGAATCTAGCTCAAACATAAACAAATTTTAAAGGAAATTCTTTATTAAAAGATCCTATTACTCATGTGATTGACATTCTAACCATTACTAATTATACTTTAAATTAATAATATAACCTAATATTATTATTAGTGTATGTTAAAGTTATAATATCTTTTAAACGGTGTAAAGATACTCCCTCTAGTGTAATCTTTATTGTAAGGACATTACTCGTGATCTTTAGTACAAGATCTTTTGTTGCAAACATTAGGTTTTTTTTTCGCTTCCTAAATGTTCTTTGCATTATTTGAGGTAAACTATGTATTATAAATAAATATAAAAATGTATTTATTTATCATAAATAAATTACATTATTAAAAAATTATGGCATAGAATTTATAAATAAATTTTTTCCCTATTTGACCTTAAAAAAAGCATAGAAAAGCCCTATTTATTTGTCAAAATTTAATACTAGACATTATTCCAAATGATGCAACACAAGACACCATATTGTGCCTATTTTGTTTTTCTTTGAAGATGTTTTATAATTAAAAAAGGAAAATGATGTTTTATTTTTAAAATTAATTATAGAAATTTTTACTTGTAAACATATTTAGTATATGAATAGAGTTTATGAGGCCATGAATGTTAAAATTTTCAATTTTCAATTAGATTGAAGTAATCGTGAGATTAATTGAGAATATGATTATAAGGATAATTCATAAACAAAAAGAAAAATTAGGAGAAGCTGAATTTTTATTTTTATTTTATTTATTTTTTACATTTTTTGGGTACTCTCGGAGAAGCTGAATTGGGATCTGAAACAGTCCATATACTTAGCCCAAACCGTGCAAAACAATGTAGAATGGTTTTAAATATAAGAGTTAGTTTGGATTCAATTTGATTTTAAATATAAGATCCGAATCCACTTTATATCTCATATTTATTTATTTTCCCTTAAAATATTCTTTGTTGCGATTAAACATGTTAAAGAGTGAATTCTAATGTCTATAATTAATAAAAATATTTTATGAAAGGAAACATTCATTTATTAAAAATAATTAACTTGACTAATTTTCTTAACATTCGTAAATTAATTGTCTATATCTTATATTAAAAATCAGAAGTAATATTAATGTATCAAAATGTACATCTAATCCAAACTATACATGTCATTTTTAGGGGAAAAAGTTAGGCATTTAATCTTATATTCTATTTGTACTTTGTTTCCAGTCAAATTCGACATGCGTTTTGTTTTAATCCATGATTTACCCTTTAACTAAATTTCATTAGTACCAAGGTACCGAGCATGAGCTCTAAGCAGGCTCTTGATCATCCCTTATATATAAAGGCATATAGTGTTTGTTTATATCAGTTTATTTTAAGTAATTTTATGTTGTACAAAATGAATATATGAAAAAAGAATATTCTTATAAACCATAACATTGTTGTGAAATACTTGTCCGGTTCTAAATATATTATTCATTTTGTAATGTAAATTGCACAACAAAATGGGTTTTATATTTAAGATGGGGGGAGTAGTTATCTAATACTACATTTGATTGTTAATATAAGAGTTAATTGACTAATTTGAGTAGATTAAAAAAAATTAGATAAGTTAGTTATTTGTAATAAATATATATTGTTTTTCCTAAAATATCCTTGTTAATCAAGTGTATTAGTTAAAACTACCATTATTATAAGAACTACCTTAAAAAAAAAAGATAAATATAAGAGACAAAGTAGATTAGAGTCTTATATTTAAGACTAAAATAAAAATAAATAAACTCTTATATTAAGAACCGGAAGTAATATAAATTTTACTAGATGTCTAAATATTAGTAGGCTTTCAGTAGATGTGGGAAATCCCAATCGGTTAAACTGGGGCATAGTGATGTAAAATATATATATATATATATATATATATATATATATATAACATAAAAATAAGATAGATGAATTCATAAAGTAGAGTTTCAACATTTTGAGTTAAAGATGCGATGTTAAATCCAGTGTGTGCATATAACCCAACTCTTCCTCAATACTTATCTATCATCCCCTCCCATTACCAAGCTTTCCTAACCATTCCTTGCAACATTATTTTTAGTTGAGCTCAGTGTATTCATCGCGAGGAGGGGTGACTAATCGTAAATTTACCTATCAATTAAGTGGCTTTGTGAATTGTGAGGATCACGCCTAATATTAATTAATTAATGCTTTTTTTTATGTGAATAAATATGAGGATATGCTTATCTTTAATTTAGGCTGCGTGCTTTATTGTTTTTAGGTTCCACTGGACTAGGCGTGGAGATGCCATTTAGGGGAATCGGTATGCTTTAAGAGCTATATATCATATATGATTCTTCTATATATTCTTTTGCGCACATGATATTATTAGGAAAAAAGATTTAAAAAAATGACAAATGAACTTCATAATGCCAAAAAAGTTTGCTGAATTTGAGAAATCCCAATTTAGTTACCAGAGTTCCGGTGACCAGCCAACGATTGGTCACCGGAGTTTTGCAGGTCAGAAATAATTTTTTTGAAAATTTTTATAACTTTAGTATAATGATTAACAATTTTTGTATTACTATTAACAACTTAACAGGTTTTTTAGAAAATTTAACAAGCTCCGGTGATTGGAAACAATTTTTTTGAAAATTTTTACAACTTCAGTATAATAGTTAAGAACTTTTGTAACGCTATTAATAACTTCAGTATAGCAGTTAACAATAGGTTTTTCAGGAAATTCAACGGCCGAAAATAATTTTTTTGAAAATTTTTACAACTTCAGTATACCAATTAACAATTCTTGTAACGCTATTAATAACTTCAATATAGCGGTTAACAACAGGTGTTTGAGTGTGTTAACGGTATTACTGAAGTTGTAAAAATACTACTTTTCAAATTTCCTGAAAAACCTATTGTTAACTATTATATCAAAATTGTTAATAGTGTTACAAAAGTTGTTAATCATTATACCGAAGTTGTAAAAATTTTTAAAAAAAAGTAGTTGTTAAAGTTATAAAAATGCTTTTTTTTTTAATTTTTAAGAAAACCTGTTGTTAAATGCCATACCGAAGTTGTTAATAGAGTTACGGAATTTGTTAACGACGTTACTGAAATTGTAAAAATGCTACTTTTTGAATTTTTCAGAAAATTTGTTGTTAACTACTATATTGAAATTGTTAATAACATTACAAAAGTTGTTAACCGCTATACTGAAGTTGTAAAAAAAAATTTTTAAAAAAAATAGTTGCTAAAGTTGTAAAAATGCCTTTTTTTTTTAATTTTTAAGAAAACATGTTATTAAATACTATACTAAAATTGTTAATAAGGTTATGGAACTTGTTAATGGCATTATTGAAGTTGTAAAAACACTACTTTTTGAATTTCTCAAAAAACCTATTATTAATAGCATTACATAATTGTTATTTTTCTGTCTTTTTCCCATATTATTATCTACATGAAACTCTGAGTAGGAGTTTTCATTTTTGCACGTCTTTCATAATGTGATATACATAATTGTTGATATATCTTTTTAAATAAAATCTAAAATGGAAAGGAAAAGGGGAAATTGCTAAAAATTTCCACATTAAAATATTTATTACCTAATCAAATATACTTGACATTTGTTTTTAAGAATTTGGGTGTGACTCATCTTCAGGGAGTATAATTTTTATTGAATTGTGTGCAATATAGTTTTGTATCTTTATCATATACAAATACTTTTTTGTTTTATATATAGTTGAAAATAGCTTACGGTTGGGGAAAAAAAAAGTTGCATCAGTTGAAGAAGATGAGTTACAATCGCTCAATTCAAGTTTTTTTTTTAAGCACTTTTTTTTTTGAAATAAAGGGGGTGTTTGGAAATGCTTAAAAGTGTTTCTAAGAAGCATTTTTCCGCAAAACAAGACAAATTCTTTCATATATTTACTTCGTAAATCATAAAAGCATTTTTGAAATCATAGTTTAGTTTATATCCAAATACCCTAAAGACTTTTCAGTAGTTTTTTAAAGGAAAAGAGACGCTGGAAAGGAAAATTCTAAATAGAAAAGACAGCCAACCCAAGACCCAACGCAGTATAAGTGCTCATATATCTCAGTTTCCCAGGCGCTTAGACCCTAAAAAATTATTTTTCATTTATGAAATAAAATTCTATATTTATTTTAGACAGCATAGAATAATTTGAAAAGGCTAAACCAAAACTCGTGAAGCTAATGTTACTTCTATGGAGAACAAGATGCGGAGGACTTTTTCCTTTTAAATGCCTGCTTATGGGTCCGTATCATGAGCCGCCCACACAAGTGAAAATTTGAAATCAATAATACTAATAATCAGACCCCAAAAAAGTACTGAGAAAATTGCAATCAGACCGCACCTAAGAGAATTAAATACAAAAAAGTCATAACTACCGTAATAGTTATTAATTCTTACATCTTAACTTGTTAATGACTACTTTTCAATTATCAATGCAAAATTAAAAAAAAATAATTTGGTAATTAAACAAACAAAATATTTTGTAATGAGGTTTTTTGGGACTTCAGAATAATTTGAGGATCTCAATATATCATTTTTTATTTAATTCTCTTGGATGGGATTTTATTACAATTTTCCCAAAAATAATACTACCTCCGGTCCTAAATTTAATTGGAGATTCAATTTAATCCAAATATTATATTTCAATTTATTTTGTCTTCTATATCTATTTATTTTTTTCTCAAAGTAGTCCTCGAGATTATTGCACATGTTAAAAAAAATTTACTCTATTACACATGATTAACAAGAATATTTTAAGAAAAAACACATATTTATTACAAATAATTAACTTAATTAATTTTTTTAACATTTACACATTAATTATTTAGTTAAAATCTGGACTGTGGACGTAGTATTAAGTACTGACAATAAAATAGCATTAAGGTGCTGTTTGGTATGAGGGAAATGAAGAGAAGGGAAGGAAAAGAAAAATTTTAATGATCTCTATTTAAAAAATTGAATAAGCAGGGTTTTCAAATTTAAATAAAGAAAAAATAATATAAAAAATTAATTAAAAACTTTTAATTTTTTAAATCGAGCTTATTAAAATTTTTCTCCTTTTCTTTCGTCTCATTTTTCCTGTACCAAACGGGCCCTGAGACGCCAACGTTGGGTACCCATTTGGAGACTATTGCCCTGGCAGCGGTTGGGTTACAGTTTGCCGTTTCCGGCGACGATAAAAGGCGTCTGGACGACTAGGTCCATGAAGGCACCGATCAAAGGGGAAACTGGGAAAGGGTCGACACGTGGCAAACATATGGGTGCCAGGTGGACGAGTGGAGATAGCCACGTGGTTATACGTGTCAGCTATTGAGGAGTTGAAGATGGCTGAAAGGCCATGGAGACAGATGGTAAAATGGACATTAAACAACGAGAATGGCAATGTTATCATATTTATTTATGATTTATTTATTTTCATAAATAAAAACTTTTTAAATATTAACAGGGTTTAATACAATTTTTAGTGCACCAAGTTTATCCTCATTTTAATTTTGGTCCATAAAGTTTTAACCTATAAGTTTTAGTCTTTTAAGTTTTTTTTCCCTATAATTTAATAAAAACCTGGACCAATTTACTCCATAAAGAATCAAAACCTATGACTTAAAACTTGAAGCAAAACCAAAATAAAGATAAATTTAAGAGATAAAAATATTATTAATTCTAAAAAAAGCAGACAATGCCACCAAGAAAGAGACGAGAAACGGAAGAAAGTCATGATTGTTGGACGCGAATTTTAACATCGTCGGTCCTAAAAATTATTGGATTTAGCTGACAAAAAGATGGTCCAAGAAGGGAATTCGGCCCCTTCATTCATGGTAAGATGACAAGTTCAAGTTCTGCTAATAATGTCAAAACTTTTGCTAAAATCCCAACTCACTTAAATTTTCTGTTGGAAGAATTGAGAGGGCATTGTAAGAAAAAAACTGAGAAAAAAACGATGGCATTGGCTAAAAGTCTTCGCCTTGACTTGCTGGCTACTATGGAAGAACAGATGCAGAGGAGTTATGGAGGGAAAGCGAAGCCATGCGGAAGAACTTATACATGCGGGACTACATCTGCTCATGGAGTCTACAGAACAAGGAGAACTGAAGCATCAGCTATTTGGCACATGCACAGACTGGGAAGCCAAGTGGACCCCTCCGCCTGAGGGGTTTGTTAGATTGGATACAGACGGATCTGTCAATACGTTAAAATTCGCGGCATGTGGAGGCATAGTTAGGAACTCAGCAGGACAATGGCTCGTCGGGTTTAAAAAGAAATTGGGTTTCCTACCCTCTACGGCAGCAGAACTATTGGCGTTACAAACAGGACTGGAAATTTGCAAACAACAAGGTTACAGCAAAGTGATGGCGTATACTGGAAATTTACAAACAACAAGGACTGGAAATATGCTTATGGTAGATGAAGGTTTTCAACATCCTTTACGATCACACATAATGCAAATACGAAATCTGATGTACTCTGATTGGGACCTCAAGATCAACTACACACCTCGGGATAACATTCAGTGTGCGGACCAACTGGCTAAGGAGGCGCACAGGCTTACAGAAGGAATGATTATGTTGTGGCATCCACCGGCCGACTACCTTTCTCGCTTTAGGGATGACTTAGAGTAGTTTTTCGTTCCTGTTAGTTCTTTATCTTCATCTTGCCTTTCCTATATAAAAAAAAAAAAAACTCATTCCATCGGCATTTTCAGGACCAAAACTATATTTTGTATTGAATTTGAATTATCTGAAATGTTGGCCTCACGGCAGGCTGAGCCAGACCCAAACCCAAAAATAATTCATGGAATGGAGTGGGGAAGTAGTCAACAAGTCATTCATAATGTCGTAGAGATTAATTTTTGGTCTACACTTGCAATATGATGACAGAGCCAAAATCATTTATCATAATTCACTACTTCGTTGAAAACAGGAAAATAAAAAATAAAAGCTTAACAACTTTGATTTTGGGTTGTGTACGGCAACTGAAATAATCATACTACCTAATTGGAGATGATATACAATCAAATGACAACACGTGACACAGGAGATAAGCTAAAATAATAATAATAGGGTGCGCTTTGATTTGTCCTTCATATCCCGACGCATCTGACATTTCCAGCATTTCTAAATTGCCATGCCTTAAACAATACTAACACCGCACAAACCATCACGAGCATTCATTCATTCATTTCAATGGCTCATGCTCAAAACAAACCATCACGAGGATTCCGTTCCCCTCTCCACAAATATGCCACACCCCACCATATCCCCCCCTCCCGGAGGGGACCATCACCATCCCTTCCATTTGTTCCTCAAATATCCCGCCATGACCACGTGTCAAATTCTAATAGGACACTTCCCTAACCCCAGTCAAATGCTCAGTGGACCCTACACACCCATAGCATCCCTCTCGACGACATCTCCGCCCCATATAATAATAATAATAATAATAATGTAACAATTAAAAGCGCACGCATATCTTAATCATACAATATAATACCCAACATGCTTCCATGTTCCATGTTCTAACTTCTAATTCTCATCCATGCCAACAACATGAAATGACGACAATACCCTTGCAAAATGGCAACGTGTTGGTCATCAGGCCCAGAAAAACAGAAGCAGAAACAAAGGATATGATATATTAATAAAACTAGTTTAACCCATCAGAACGAGAAAATTTAAGTCTACTTCATTAACTGCCAGGTGTCAGTTAAGAGTATTCAAAAAGTCCATAATTCATGAAGTTCAATGGTCCATAGGCTATTCAAAATATTAATACTACGCCCAGAGAAGGGTCTAACGGCTAATCCTAACGGCTAGAAGCGGACTCAGATCAGAAACAGTTAAAATCAGAGCGTCCAACTGCTATTTTCTCATCTCAGGCTTCAGCTTCTGTGTTAGCGCACTTCTTTCCTGGCGAGCAGATGGCCCACACGAAGCCAAACGGGTCCTTCACCTTGCCCACGCTCTCCCCGCAGCACGCGCCCTCCCCAGACACGATCTCGCCTTCCGCAACAGCTCCGGCGCCAACCGCCTTGTTAATGGCAGCTTCTACCTCCTCCGTCTCCAGGCACAAAACGACACCGTTGCCAACACTCTTCGCCCTGGAAATATTTAATCAAACAAAATTTAAAAAACATATGAAAAACAAGACAAAATCAGTTTCATTTCACTGAGAGTGGCACGCTTCCAATCATAAACGAAGAAAAATATAGCGAAAGAAAACAAAATCACTACAAAACATTGAACAGAATCGCCTAAAAAGTCAAGTCAATAGACCACGAAAGTCTTATCTAGTAGGTATAGCGAAACTGATATCACGAGATTTGATAATAAAACGACAATATGAACTGTGTGTGCAGTAAGTTTTCCAGGATACAAGGATTAAAGCGTGAGATCGAGCAGATCGAAACATAAACAACACAAATTCTACAATTAAATCACCATTCGGCGAACATGTAACGAAAATCACGACCATTATTCAGAACAAAACTACATAAAGGGTAAGATACAGCCAAAAAAATCATTTGAGTACGACAAAAGGTTTCAAAGTGAATCGAAAAGCAAGATATACGAAATATGAAACGATGAGAACGATAGAATGGCTAATAAAAGGTATAAAACACAGAAGAGAAAGGAAATAGCAAAGCAAAGGACAAAAGAATTATCAGCTACGCTTTATTAATTAGTTGCGCCAGGATACCGGTTTTTAGGGTACGAAATTTAAGACAAAAGCAGAAACAACACGAAATGTCTTTTACAAGCGTATTGTTCGGTTCGGTGAGCGATCCTACAGAAACAAAACACTCATATATAGAGCACAAAAGATCTCAACGCAGAGCAGCACAAGAAACGAAAATCAGAGACGCGAGGAAAGAAAAAGTAAGCAGATATGATCCAGACGAGAAAGTGAAGAACAACAAACAGAAAGCGAGAGGTATAGACTTACGGAGCAGCAGAATCGTCGGCCAAGAGGTCAGAGACGAGGATGGTGACGCCGGCGAGCTTCAGCTCAGCAGAGAGGATGAGAGGGAGCTCTTGCTCAGCCTTGCGTTTCGGATGAGTTGTACGGCCAACCTCCTCGGCACCAAATGCAGCCTTATAGAACTGAACAGCGTCGTTTGCCTTCGGCGCCTCCACCAGTATCTGCGGCTTCACAGCGGAGAACGACACCACAGTTGCTGCCTTCTCAGCTCCACCATTCTGAACCTCCGGTTGCGCCATTGATGGATCAGAGAGTTAAAAAGGCACACACAAAGCTCCGCAAAAACCCTAACCCTAGGAGAGAGAAAGCGAGGGAGGAGGAGACGAAGAAATGGAAATGGCGTGAAGTGGGGTTGGGGGGTGGGACAGTGTATATATAGAAGCGGGGAAGCGGAATCGCCTTTGGGCGTGTTCGGGACAAAACCGGGATAGTAAAAATTGACGGAGCATTATTTACTGTTACCTTCCGAAGCGTCAAAAAATGTGTGTTTGCGTGAACGGAATTGCCCTCTGCTTTTTGTTAATTTACTATGAGTTGCCATTCCGAAAAGCCGTCTCCTACGGTCTGACACTGGTGAACGTTCGAAAACAAGGCATTAATTAATCATTAATATTTTTTTATTGCTAATTTTTATTATTTTAATTATTTGTTATCTCGTTGTACTTGGACACTGCCACGGTCAATCGAATCAAGACAAGGATTGTAAGAACGCTGCGTTTCGGTTCAGGCAGAATTTCCTTTATTTTATTTGAGGAATTAAAAAAAAAAAGGAAAAAGCACCGTATTTTTAGAGAAAATGACAATAAAGATCCTGGAATATATAAAAAGGTTAAGGTACAAATTTATTTTGAAAGTTTGTTCTTAGAAAAGCTGAGAATCCGGAAGTATTTTTTGTCTCAATATCGTCCTAGAAGTTTTCAAATCATAATAATGTCACTCTGGCCATTATCTTAGTTAAATTTAACCGTTAGTTGACCAATTATACTGAATTGACATATTCATGTGTCGTTTACCATTAGTTAACCAATTATACTGAGTTAACATGTCTATTATATTGAGTTGACAAAGGTATCATTCATCTCTATTCCACCAACTTAGATGATGTTGGATTGGTGTAGTATCGAAGAGAAGAAATATTACATTAAAGAAAAGATAAAATGTACAAAACACAAAACTAAGAGGAGAGTTTCATGAAGAAAACTTCTTACACGTACTTTTTTATACGAGTAAAAATATATCATTGTTATTTATTTAAATTAACCATTGTTACTTAATGAGATTTGCTATCTTCCCCCATTACCTCTTCTGACATGTTAGAGAGAAAAAGAGATGAGATATGAAGTGAAGAGTAAAGGGTGAAGTGTTGAGTAGGAAGGAGAGGAGTTAAGTGTGGATAAAAAATGAAGGGAAGTGAATGAATAATGACACGTAAGATTATATTCTTTTAATTTTAAATGTAAGGCTAATTGTATAAAATAAATTACCTATTATATTTAAGACTAGAAGAGTATTTTAAAAAATTATACTTCAGCTCTGCTACCCAATAGAGATACTTGGAAGATCATATTTCAGAAGCACAAAGTTGGGAGAATGCAATGCATGGATCAACCCTAACAATCAATGCCCACTCGGTCTCACCTAGAAAAAGGCCCACATTGACACTCTTCACAGTCACTTTCTGCTAAAGCGTGCAAGAGGTGTTACCAAAAAAAAAAAAAGTGCAAGAAACCAATAAGTTAGATGTAACATAAAGAATTAATCTTCACAACGTGTCAAATTAAAATTTCATTATTGAGAGAAGCGTTCAAATTTAGTATCTAATAGTATCTCGAATAAGATTACTTATAATAAAAAAAAATACTTATAACCACAAAAAATGGGGTGTAAGAGCCAATTTATTGTTCTTGATTGCTGTTTGTTATTTCACCCATACCCTATATTTGGTATGAGAAAAGTTTAAAAAAAAAAACAGAGAGAGAAGAAAAATTTGTAATAAGTTGAATTTGAAAAATTGAAAAGGTGGGATTAAAAAAATTAATTAAAAGCTTTTAACTTTACCTTTTTTATTTTTTTAGGATTAATTAATCTGCAAGTCCTTATAGTTTTAATCAATTTTGAATCAGGTCCTTACAGTTTTTTTTCTTTTTATTAGGTCCTTATTCTTTCACATGTTTTTAATTAGATCCTTGCATTTATTTTTCTTTTTATAAAGTCCTTATAATTTTCCTAAATTCTTAATCAGGTCCATGTTGTTTTAATTTTTATTTATTAGTTAAATATAAACTTAATTAAATAGATTACTGAAATATAAAATATTAATAATGAAATTAAATTACTATAAGTAATATAATTAATTAATTCAAGAAAATTTTTTAGAACAATTAATATTTTCTTGCTGGCAAAAAAATGAAATCATTATAATAATTCATTATTTTTAGAATGTTATTGTTTATAAAATAATATTAAATAATATATACTATTTTATGATTATAGAATAGTATTATTAGAGTTCATAAGATAAAGAGTAAAAAATTCAGGGACTTAATTAAAAACAAGGAGAACTTATAAGGATTTGATAAAAAGAAAAATAAATACAAGGACCTAATAAAAAGAAATAAAACTATAGGGACCTGATTCAAAA